AATGCTCATTTCTTCTATTCACTAAGAGATCTTAACTAATCTTGTGAATCACACACAAAAATATCTGGTATAATAACATCTTTAACATAGACCTAATTTCTTTCGGGTTTTTTTCTTTCTTCTTTGTTTGAATTTCTTTCAATTGATTCAAAACCCCTTTTTGGTTTCAAGAGACACGATTTGACGTAAAGTAGAACATACAGAAATTTTTGGTTAGTTTAAAAGCCTCCCTAAAAGTTTTTTGAGATAACAATTGAAAATCTCCAATATTCTGGTGCGTATAATCCCAGGGTCCCATTTTTACATTTAAATAATTTAAAAAAATAACTTAAAGAGAAGTCTTAAGAGAACTTAAGACCTCTGCTTAGTCCTCTATTTGTGGTAGATAGTACGTGTGTCTAACTTTTAATTGATTTAACGACAATAGAGCGGATTAATTTCAAAATCGGAATTATTTGTGGCGTTGGACGTCCACATATAATTTATCTGTGCTAGTATTATATTCACATTTATAATAACCACATCACCACATCAGCACGTTTTTTTTAGATTCTGTGCGTATTATATTTATGGGGAAAGCACTTGTTGAGCTAATTGTACTCAGTGTAAACATAATATAATTGTTTAAAAGTTATGTACATAACATAGTTATATATAATATGTACATATATATATTGACTTTAACAAAAATTACCATAATCCCAGGGTCATGGTTGCAATCAGTTAGTTCTACCTAATTGATGACTTCAAGAAGACGTATTAAAAGCTAATAAAATTTTTTTTTTTTAATTAAAACTTAAAACCTCCGCCAAGTATATAATTTTAATATATATGCGAATAACATAGTTGATTTAGATAATATTCGAACGTACAAATTTCAAAATTGAAATTTTAGTGGAGGCTTGTTTTGCATGGCTTTTGAAGTCCATATAAATTTTAAATTGTCTGTGCTAGTACCATATTAACAAATTTTTTATGGATTTGAATTTTATTTGAATTATATTCGGATTATGTTTGAATTATGTCTAGATTATGATAGGATTATGTTTGGATTATGATAGGATTATGTCTGGATTACTTTTAGAGTATAATTGTATTATGCAAACTATTTTTTTTTCTATAATTAAAACTTAGGCCCTTCGATGAATCCTTTATTTTAAGTATATGTGTGAATAATGATAAGTTAATATAGATTGGATGACTATCGAACGGTAAAATTTCAATATTGTCTCCACTAAGGTGACTTGTTTTGTATGACTTTAGAAGTCCTTATATATTTTAAATTGTCTGTACTAGTATTATGTTTACACTTATAATTAACGAACCACATTAACCAATTTTTTATAGATTTTAAATGGATTTTTTTTTGGGTTATATTTGAATTATGTTTGGATTTCGTTTGTATTGTGCATGCAAATTATTTTTCGATAATTGGAGATTAAAATTTTGGATAAGTCCTTCATTTTAAGTACACGTGTGAATAATGCTATGTTGACCTAGATTGGACAAATATCCAACGGACTTATTTGAACATCCTCATAGAATATGTTCGTGTTAGTATTATATTTACATTATTAATAAGCGAACTGCATCACAATTTTTTTTATTTATGGATTATGTAAGGATCTTATTTAAATTACATTATAATGATTGCGCTTTTTTTGTCGAGCTAATTGTGCTTAGTATAAATATATTAGGTATGTTTCACCAGCTACTCGTAGTAACTTTGAGTAACACTGTGCATACCCAAGTGTGTTCCACCAACAGATTTTCATGTATTTTCGTTTAAAATTTACTTGTGTTACTTGAGTTTTACTACGAGTAGCTCGTGGAACACACCTATTATAATTGTTAGGAAAATATGTGACTTTTCATTTCACCACAAATTGTGGTGGATTTTTTAACTCTCTTACCACTGTTGCTTGCCATATTCACGTTTTCGATTTAAATATTTTTTTGTTTATTTCATCCATTAGAACGTTGAGTTACAGGGACGCAAACATATTTGTGTGTATGTGTAGCGTTCTCTTCTCAGGCTTCTTGGGACTCTCATGCAAATGTGGCATGCAACGTACAGTTCGAATAAAAATGCGCCACAAAAAAATGTACTCATTCAATTGCCCGCGCTTCGCAGTCAAAGTGCAGAAGCAAATAAAGCTTTTATCGTTAATTTATTGCTGCTTTTTATTTCGTAATTGTGATTGATGACTTCTTTGCGTCAATTTGTTATTGTTGTTGTTGTTGTTGTTGTTGCCATTGTTATTATTATTATTATTAATGTGTTGTTGAGGCTGTCAAAGGCGTTTGCGCTAAATGAACAAAATGATAAATTAATAAAAATATTTTAAGCTCTGCGTACATTTCTCATTATTGTTCTTTCATACAATTTTGACAATGCGTTGTCTTTTAATCAATTTTTTAACAAACAATTTTCGCATTGTTTGCAGAAATAATATTTTACGCTGCTAGTATAAAACTGTCAACTGTTCATTTTTTAAAATTCACAAAAACTATTTTTCTTATTTTTTTTTTTGTGAATTTTTATTTTAATGCTTCTTCTTATGTTTGGATTTGTTGTTGGTTTTTTTCTGTTACTTGTTTTTGTTTTTTGTTTTTTGGGACGTGTAAAATGATCAAACGTCAAATTGGCTTAAGCTGTAAACAAAAAGTAACGCGCATATAAGTACAATGCGCGCAACACCAGTCACAAAAACCGTAATAGTGTGGCAGCGACAGCGACAGCGGCAGTGGCAGCGCTGGCGGCGCTTTTGATGACAAGCGCATGAAACAGCATTTGTAGTATATGTACAATGTATGTGTTGTGTGTGAACTGTTGTATGAATTCTGTTATTATCCATGCTTTAACTAAGTATATTCAAAAGTCATACTTTATTTTGTTACGCCTCTCCACTGTTACCGTCGTTTCCCGGCGACGGTGGGGCAAAGCGATGCGGAGGCATTAATTCTTCGTATGTGCGTTAAGTCATTTATAAGCAGGCTTAGCATAAAAGCTTAAATGAACGCAAAGGAAATATAGAAGTTAAATGTCATGACAGAAAGACAGTGGACAGTCCAGAAGTGAGTGACAGCTGCTCAAAGAGTTAATACTGTTATTAAGCTCAGCGCTTTGTGATTGTTGACCAAGCCAGCAATAATTTACATTTTGTTTGTATTTTTCGCTTTGCTGTTCTCATAAAAAAGGCGCAACATTGTGATTAAAGTATGAGTACACTGCAAAAAAATCATAAAAAAACCAAACACAATGGCAATGAAGAGATAAATTAAAAACTATACTTATCAGATTTTGTAATTTATTTTTTTTTTTTTGTTTGTTTATATATTAGTTAATATGCCCTTGTTCATTACATGAAGCCGAAAATAGTTCTGTCATAATTCTCTTTAATAAGTAATTTTTCAAATAGAATCTGGATAAGTTAGGTTAAGTTATGTTGACACTCCAAACGACCCGCTTAGGTGTATTGGTCCATTGTGTTAACATGTATAAAACTCAGTGCTTTTTAAAACCTACCTAGAATCTTTGGGAGAGCTTAAAATAATTTTTAGTAGTAAATCTCAGAGTTGTCCTAGATGTCCTAGACTCCAAACGACCCGCTTAGGTGTATTGGTCCCTTGTGTTACCATGTGCTTTTTAAGACCTACCTAGAATCTTTGGGAGAGCTTAAAATAATCTTTAGTAATAAATCCCAGAGTTGTCCTAGATATCGTAGACTCCAAACGACCCGCTTAGGTTTATTGGTCCACTGTGTTGCCATATATAAAACTCAGTGCTTTTAAAACCTACCTAGAATCTTTGGGAAAGTTTAAAATAATTTTTAATAATAAATCCCAGAGTTGTCCTAGATATCCTAGACTCCAAACGACCCGCTTAGGTGTATTGGTCCATTGTGTTAATATGGATAAAACTCAGTGCTTTTTAAAACCTACCTAGAATCTTTGGGAGAGCTTAAAATAATTTTTAGTAGTAAGTTTCAGAGTTGTCCTAGATGTCCTAGACTCCAAACAACCCGCTTAGGTATTTTGGTTCATTGTGTTACCATGTATAAAACTCAATGCTTTTAAAACCTACCTAGAATCTTTGGGAGAGCTTAAAATAATTGTTAGTATTAAATTCCAGAGCCACCTATTCTAGAACCACCTATAGATCAAAAAACAACAATAGCAGCTCATTCCATCAAAACGAACCGTATTCCCAACTTCGATGATGTAGAAATTCTTCACATGGAGAACGTAGAAGGTATACGTATAATTGACGTACTAGATGGTCAACAATTAAACTACGAGAGGGATACTGAACGCTTAGCATAAATTTATAGATCTTTAATCAAATATTAATTGCTATGTTTATATTTATTTTTATTTATATTTGCACAAAAAATATATTTAAAAATTTGTTTTCGTTTTGACTGAGACAGCACTGGTTGCCATTGTTTTTAAAAATTACTGCCCGCTTTTTCATACTTTTGACAATTTAATTTTTTTGTGTTTGTTAATTGTAATAACACTGTAGTTTTTTATATAATATAAGTTATTATATAAAAATATAAATTTAAAGACACGACCTAAAGGCCGACAAAATTAAAAAAGCCATTTAGATAGTAAAACAAAACATTAACAATGCAGATGTTAGACACAACTGTGGCAATAATTAATAATTAAAAAGTAGACTCAGTCCTCTAGCATAATTCCATTATGGGCTCTCAGCAAACTTATCATAAGACTAATATAACTACAACATATCTCAATAAGAGATTTGGATTTTTTTTTGTATAAGAACGCGATCAATAAATCAATCAATATATCCATGTCTTTATTTCAGTTAAAACTACTGAATTAAAAACTTTGTTTTTACATGATATATATATTAAATGTTGAAATTAAAAATTACATCCACTTATATATATTTTTATTGGGTACTATCCAAGTCTTACAAATGATAGGTGATTATATATATGTATATAGAAAAAAAAGCAAATTTTGTTTTATTATGCTTTTGATTTATTTGATGGTTTAAAGTTTAGCTGAAACACAAGGAAGAGCAAATTTATAAGTCTAACATTTAACATAAGTCTAACATAAGTTTAACATATAAGTCTAATAACATAATTTACATCGTCGAGTAGGTTTCAAATCGACAAATTTTCTGAAACGGGTTTTTGGATTTTGCAGTTATACTTGTTTGATGTAATCTCCACTTCTGTCTAATTTTTACATAATAAATGTAATTGTTAAGTATAAGTATAGATCCATAATTGTTATCTTAAGTATAGATCCATAACATTCATAAAAATAGATTCAAGTTTCAGATTTATTCGAGTCTCTTTATTCCAAATGTTAAAGTAAGTTCCAATTCTGAAGTGAGTTTTAATAATTCGCAAAAGTTTTATATATGATTAACAGTCCATTTAGTACTTGATGTGATAGGTCAAAAAAGTTGTACAATACTTAAGTATTTTTTCGTACAGATTGAATGGTCGCTTCTGTGAAGTTATTGTCCAGTATATAGCTTGATGGACCACATTTGCTGTAAAAGGTTTTCTGCAAGTGCTTACTAATGAAGGCGATAGAATCTATTAAAATTCACAAATTATCATTACAGACAGAATCCGACCTTTTATCATCTTCTTTAATTTTTTATTCAGTGATGTAGGAGATCCTTTTTGGATAAACATAAAGCAATTGTTGTTATCTAGCTTTTGTTACCTAAAAATTGGTGTTAGGAGAACAAAACAGGCCGGTTTCATTTCGTTCAAAATCTGCATAAAGACAATTCCGTTGGAATAATGATATAATTGTGGTGATCAGCAATTTTACTGCAGTAGGTATCTTGTTTATACGTTTAATAAGATCAAAACTAGATACAGCAGTACTTTGTTTACGTATACGGTAGACAGTATAGATAGTAAAGTTAATTCTGCGTACTTTTCAACATTGCTTTCTGTTCTTAAATATGACTCACCATTCAGTCCCAAATGTATTTTAGCTTAACATTCCGCTTGCTCTGTCATTTGGCTTCGTCTTTCTTGTCATGAAGCTAATGTATATTATAATAATAAGATCACAACCTCAATATACGGATTGGTATGAGTAACACTGAGTTCACAAATTTTTGTTGGTTATAAAATTAGTGTCTGCAGCATATTGGATACTATCTTTTTCAGAACGGTAATTAAGTTGTAAGTCATTTTCGGCATTATCATTAACTTTTTCTGTTTGAACAACTCTTTTCTCTTCAGTAACTGGAGAATTTTCTTTTAGAGAATTAAACAGGCGGTGCAGAGGTGTATACATATATGATCTAAGATACGGTTCCCAACAGTTTAGATGTGAGACCTTTTGATATTATCTTCAAAGATATTAACTGTTAGTTAGTTAATATATACTTCACAATAGTTCACATGACTGCAGTAACCTCACAATGTCTATAAGTTATCCATTATAATGACATCAGCTCTTCAAATTCATTTCTTGCAGAAACAGATTCGAAGAGAGATAATTTAACTTTTTAATCCTTCCTATTTCTATTCATTGTTGCTACTCAGGTTATCATACGGCTAGCGATACCTAAGTCAAAATAGACATTTAGTTTCGACTATTCGTACAGCTTCAAATATAGCTAAGCGTCATTTACTAACACTTGTATATACTTCTTCTATATTTTGAGTACACATTCGTGACGGTGATTTGCATGACATTAATATTATCGTGATACCAATAATGTTGTGTATTAAGAATACCACCAAGACTTCAAGACCAATAAAATCAGAATAGTAAGTAGTATGTGGCATAGATTTTTGATTAAATTTAGTGAGAAATATTCAAAATCAACATCGTTTTCTGCTGCATCCTTACTGCTTATTTACTTGCATAACTGGCATTGGATGGTTAAAAGTAAAACGTAACAGTACAGGTGATCATACCACCTGTCAAAAAGCCGAGTATCCTCTGCTGCCTTTTGTATGTACTGCATTGTGATTTTCTGACATTCTGTTGAGAAAGCCAATTTTTGCAAATGTGGTACTTTAATAGTCTTAAAATCTTTTCTTCTTATTCTAAAAGGAATACCAATGACTAATGATCTTCACAGAAATATGATTTGTTCTGCGGCAACATGATAATCAGTTGACAATAAGTTGAAAAAAATAAGTACGACAACTTTTAAAGTACTTTTTTTTTAACCAAATGGACTGAATTTCATATCTGCAATATTAAGAATTTTTAATATTTTAAACAATAATAATATTATGTAAATTGATATGATAAATATGAAATATTCTTATGAATACATACTTTAGTTAATTACGCATCAAATAGTATTTACCGTTTTCTCAATATAAAATTACTTACAAATACTTAACTTACATTTAATTTATGTTTCTTCATTTATTTGGAAATTGTGGTCCTCGATGAACTTAAAAAAGTCTTCGAGAATCTTCACTTTTGCTTGCATTATTTTAATTTTATATAATTCTAGTAAATACTCCTGCAAATGGTAAACATCAACTCCATCATCTGACTCTTCGTCGCTTTCTTCATCATCATCAGAGTCATAATCAGAATCATGCTCTGTCGGATCATAGTCAACATTAGGAGCATAGCCTCCTTCACTGTACTCATCATCATAGTAAGGATCATATTCAGCCCCAGAGCTACTTTCATCACTTTCATCATTTTCGGAATATTCCATATCATCATAATCAATGTTCAATTGATTTAGATGTAAAACATTTGGAACTTCATTAGTTGGTACAACACTAAATGAAAATTTAATTAAAAAAAACTATATATACAAAGTCCGACTTTCTACTTACTTGGGACAAATACTTTGATACATTTGAAATTTTGCCTTTTGCTCAGGTGTCTTTGCGGCCTCAGCACTAAATGCATTAAAAATAAAATATTTTTAATATTTTTTTCATATCAAATCTTTTTTATATTCACCTTTCTTCATATAAGTAGTCTTTTATAGCCATTATAGAATAAAAATAAATCAAACCATAATTTTGAACTTTCCCAAACCGTAAAATTTTGTATGACATAAAAAAAAATTTTTTTCTTAAAAGTAAATTTGACAACGATTCAAAAATAGAATCAATGACAGTTCGATTAAATTATTTGCTTTTCGGAATAAATTATTTTCTTCTTCTTGATTCTTCTTCTTGATTAGTGCTATTACGCACTTTTACTCTGTAATGGCTGGGGGGCTTATCTCTACCCCTAGGCTTTACCACTAGGTTTTAACTAGGCTAAGAAATCATATCATAAAATTATTATATTCATTTACAAAAAAAAAAAACTTGAAGAAATTATTTATTTATTATAACCGAAATTTGAAATATTTGACATATTGATGATACACAAAAATACAAAAAGGGAATCAGTATCACTCAAACTGTCAGACTGTCAACAGTTTGAAACAGAAATTTATAAATTTATTATTTATGTTAAAATTAGTGGATTTTTCCAATATTTTATAATATAAAACCTTCCCTGGGATATACTTAATAATTTCCCAAATTTTCCCGGTGATTGGATGTATGGTTTCTGAATCCGTCGAGTACAGACAGACACACATTCGTTTATATATATATAGATTAATAGATTAATATATACATATATATATTTATATATAACTCTTTTTTTCCTAGTTTTAATTAAGGAGAGATAATGGCACCTGGAGCAGTAAATATTTGATATCATTGAAAACTCTTACATTAAAGCATACTGTACTGCCTTTGCTGAACAAAGAAATTTTGAAATTAATCCTTTTAAAAATGTCTTACATAAGATGATACACATAAAACTATATGAAATCTCCGAAAAAAGAGTTCAGACCTCCACGGTTTAATAGAAGTAGCAGTAGGTTAACTCGAAAACGATGCAAACCAAAAAGTTGTGAGCTACTTAGTCCTCTTTTAGTCTAGTTATGCTATGTAAAGCCACATTAATACCCAACTGAAAATATGGCACTCAATTATGAGGAACAAAGAGTAAATCAAAAATAAATCAAAAGAGCAACAAACCATGAATCTAACAAAGTTTTAAGAATTTTATTCATCCAGAATAAAAAAAATATGCTCAGGTTTAAGTATTCCGAAAGGTTAGGCACCCATCTAAATCAACTTGTAGTTCATTAGACAATAGTGTCACAACCAAACATTAAAGAGATATCACATAATAGATATATCTTTTATGAATTAAACCATAATTTTAATATATCATGTATAATAGTTGGTCTCATTGGAAACTACTTGTTTCTGTTGAGTAGCTTCATTCTATTTACTGATATATGTTTATCGCCAATAGGATGGACTTCAAATATTATTTATAGCAATGAAAAAAAAATTAAAATTTATTTGATTACTTGAAGCAATTGATTCGATCCAAAAATTAGTCTTTTCCAAATGAAGCTCTAAGATTCTACATTTATTAAAGCCGGTATTTAATAATTATCACTTCAACTTTAAAAACAGAAAGTTACTTTATACGCAAGTAATTAGACCTGCACTACTGTACGGATGTGTTACATATAGCAAAGCCTCAAATACTACCTTAAAACAATTACAGATAGCTCAAAACCTGGCTTTAAGAAAACTGTTTAAGATTCCATGGTATATTAGATATGAGATCTTAGGATTGACTCAGTGAAAAAATATATCAGAGACAGAGCTCTAAAATTATTCACTAAAGTTGATACGCTAATTAACCCGCCCTAACAATCCTTAAGTCCACTTCTGGACTCTCAGGAAGATGTGCTGATTTATCCGTCATCAACTAAAAGACAAGTGAATGATATGTTTTTTTTTTAGCCAAGTTAAAGCAGAGTGTGGGGTAGAGATAAGCCCCCCAGCCATTACAGAGTAAAAGTGCGTAATAGCGCTAACTCAAGAAGAAGAAGAATCAAGAAGCTAAATAAATGATATTGTTTAAAGCAACGCATGGAGTACGTGATGGTTCTGTTTCGGAACTAGCTTACTGGATAATTATTAAAAAAAATAGAATTCACGTTCAAACAGTATCATTTCAACCATTTCGTAGGCATGGCCCACTTGAAGCTACTGCTAACAAAAACCGGATTCTACACGAGTATATCCGGGAAGTAATGTATTTCTGCTTTTATGAGAAAATATAACTTAGGATGTAAATGTGTGAGATAAAACATTTCATTAGAGATATATGGCTCTATGTCCATATATATCTTATTAGATTTAAATAAACATTTACATGATATATTAAAATCTTGTAGAGATACGAAATCTCTACGGAAATCTTGAAAGTAAGTAATGGATAATGAAGTTTATTGATTATTGAAAACTGTGCTTGTAATGAATTGATATATATTTAATGGAACATAATCTTACCATTTTTTCTCCTCGTTGGTAGTGCGCTTTAAAAGTGACTTTATAAATTATAATATACTGAATTAGTATAGAATGAAGTGAAATAAATAAAATTAAATAATAGTTACTAAATTTTAGGAAAATATTATTGATATTATAAATTTAAATGAAATAAAATGAAAAATTATTTAGGAACAAAGTTAAAGTTTATAGTAGGCTCAGGAACGTTCCTTGAGTTCTTTAAATTAAAAGGTTGTCCCTGATACAATGGGCTAGTCTCCAAAAAAAAATCATGAATAAGAAAGAGTTTATTATTAAATTTTTTTTTTCAGTTTTTGAATCTATATACCGCTAATAATGTTTAACGAATGTTTTGCTTTCAAATGACCGGGTTGGTGTTGAAATGATTTACTTTTATTATAAATGTTAATTTGGAGAGTAGTCAAAATTCACACGAATCTAAATTAGTTAAATTCAATGGATGATCGATGCTATATCTGGTCAAGAGCTATATCTGGTTCAGTTTTTTGAAAGCTTCTAGTCGCACCCTTCTAGTATTTTCTTTCACAAGTAACACATGTAATTATTAGTTATAATGGTGTGTATGACTGATATACTCCTTCGGAACATTTTTATTGTTTCTCTGAATCTGCCTTCCTTTAATTCATCGTTTAGATAGTGTGACATATGCAGATACACTATTTTTTCCTGTACGCACACAGAGCGTCCCTTTGCGCAAACCTTTATCAAAGTTTAATATTCTTTGCTTTAGCTATTCTAGCTAAGTCACTTAGGGGTCTAGTGAACGGTAAAGGCTATTCTGGCATTCCCAATAAATTCAACAAACTAAAAATTTGTCAGCAAATCTGACAAATGACCTGGTATAGTAGTGCGCTAAAAGCTTTTAAAAAACTCTTTACCAATATGTCCGACCTCTTATCCGGTGGCAATAATAACCACTAACATTTCAAAAAATAAAGTGAAAACTATACACAATTAATAGCAGTTATCCAAAATATGTTGTTAAATTTACAAAAATAAGTAGTTGTGATTAAAAAAAAATCACAATAAAAAAAAAATAAGCAGCTGATAAATTTGTCAGGGTTGCCAGCATTCAAAAGGTAGAGCAAAAAAATTTTTAGAACTTTTCAATGCAACGTCCATTTTGGTGGTAATGCTTGAGTATTTAAAGTTCTCATGACTTTCACATAAACAGTCAAAATAAGAAAAAACGTGAGTTGAATTTTCATTTATTTTCAAAAATTTCTTTCATTTTTGTACATATTTCTGCTTTCTACGTAACTTTTACTCAATTTTATATTCGATCTTTATTTTATACGAAGTTTTATACACAAAGTGACATAACTGAGTTTTAATTTGTCGACATTTGGTACGTAATACTACGTTACCACTACTTACTTAGTAAGTCACATAGTAACATTGAGCCTTTTGTCGTCTACATTATCATAAGTTACTTAAGGAATGGGAAAGAGCTTTTATGTATCAAAACTTCCTAATTGTAAACAGCTGACATAAATTTTGTATTGTTGAAAGAAAATAATTTAACATGTAAAACGCAGAAAAATTTGAATTATTTAGTATATAATAGGTCTGTTCCACGAGCTGTTCCTAGTAAAACTCAAGTAAAACACAAGTACAATTTACATGAAAAAAACGAAAATTTGCTGGTGGAACGCACTTGTGTATACTCAGTATTACTCAAAGTTACTACCAGTAGCTGGTGGAACAGACCTAATATCTGTAATATTATTCACAATATGAATGCAGCAGTTTTTGCATATACAAAAGAATACACAATGGTTGATAAAAAATTACAAATTATTTAAAATCAACAAATCTTCAATGATTACTAGGAGCCAAAGGAAGTGCGGGACTTTGGTAAGTACGGACAGTAGATATTTTTAAATAAAAAGTAAAATATAACTGAGTTGCTATTTTAGAATAAAAAAAGATGTAAAAATTTTGGAAAGATTTTTTTTTAATTTGTTTGTTAATTTTTACGTTAGCTGTGCCAATAATTTTATTCAGCCAAATTTAGTTCTTTTTTGGTTTTTTAATTTTAAAAAATTAAATATAAGAGAAAATAAAATGAAATAAAATGAATTTAAAAGCAAATTAAGCTTTTATCTAAAAAAATTTTTTGTTTATTAAAAATCGCATCATTAACAGGATAAAAATAGTGGTAAAGTTCAATTTGCTTGCTGTGCCAATAATTTTGTTCGTCACTGTACATATAATCGAATATTTTAAATAAGAATTATGTGTGTATATTTAAATCATTAAATACTTTGGAAATTTAAAGTAGAGTGGTAAAAAGTAAAAAAATGTTACTGAATATTTTAAATAAAAAATATTTGGTAGAAAAACCAAAAAAAGTTTTGTCTCTATAACTCGAAATTTTCCTAACTCGAACTTTTTTGCCGTCCCCTTGAAGATTCGAGTTAGGGGAATTTCACTCTAGCTAAATGATCTAGTATGATCTAATTCCACATCCAAATCTATGTGGAAATAATTTGTTAACTCACTTCTACTCAGAATAGTTGAAAACGGAGCTCATGGATGTCTCTTCATTTAGCTTAAATTTCTCTAATTTTGTGAAAGCTTTATTACTACTTTAATTAATATATGATCATCTAAAATTACTTTTGATCCAATTGTTTTATTTGTATGATCAGTAATAATAAATTCAT